CCTATGGAAATATTAAAAAAATATTTTTTTAAAAAATCCACGCCTATGGAAATATTAAAAAAATATTTTTTAAAAAATCCACGCCTATCGAAATATTAAAAAAATATTTTTTAAAAAATCTACGCCTATGGAAATATTAAAAAATATATATTTTTTAAAAAATCCACGCCTATGGAAATATTAAAAAATATATATTTTTTAAAAAATCCACGCCTATGGAAATATTAAAAAATATATATTTTTTAAAAAATCCACGCCTTTGGAAATATTTAAAAAAATATTTTTTAAAAAAACCACGCCTATGGAAATATTAAAAAAATATTCTTTAAAAAATCCACGCCTATGGAAATATTAAAAAAAATATTCTTTAAATAATCCACGCATATGGAAATATTAAAAAAATATTTTTTAAAAAATCCACGCCTATGGAAATATTAAAAAAAATATTTTTTAAAAAATCCACGCCTATGGAAATATTAAAAATATATTTTTAAAAAAATCCACGCCTATGGAAATATTAAAAAAATATTTTTAAAAAATCCACGCCTATGGAAATATTAAAATATTAAAATTTCCATACTATGGAAATTTTAAAAAAGTATGGAAATTTTAAAAAAATATTTTTTAAAAAATCCACGCCTATGGAAAAATTAAAAAAATATTTTTTAAAAAATCCACGCCTATGGAAATATTAAAAAAATATTTTTTAAAAAATCCACGGCTATGGAAATATTAAAAAAATTTTTTAAAAAATCCACGCCTATGGAAATATTAAAAAAATATTTTTTAAAAAATCCACGCCTATGGAAATATTTAAAAAAATATTTTTTAAAAATCCCCGCATTGTCATGAATCTTGAAAAAAATATTTTTTAAAAAATCCACGCCTATGGTAGGTCTTCAAAAAAATATTTTTTTAAAAAATCCACGCCTATGGTAGCTTCAAAAAAATATATTTTTTAAAAAAATCCACGCCTATGGTAGCTTTCAAAAAATATTTTTTTAAAAAATCCACGCCTATGGAAATATTAAAAACAATATTTTTTAAAAGAAGCCACGCCTAGGAAATATTTAAAAAATGTTTTTTAAAAAATCCACGCCTATGGAAACATTAAAAAAATATATTTTTTTTAAAATCCACGTCTATGGAAATATTAAAAAAATATTTTTTAAAAAATCCACGCCTATGGAAATATTAAAAAAAATATTTTTTAAAAAATCCACGCCTATGGAAATATTAAAAAAAATATTTTTTAAAAAATCCACGCCTATGGAAATATTAAAAAAAATATTTTTTAAAAAATCCACGCCTATGGAAATATTAAAAAAATATTTTTTTAAAAAATCCATACCTATGGAAATATTAAAAAAATATTTTTTTAAAAAATCGCCTATGGAAATATTAAAAAAAATATTTTTTAAAAAATGCACGCCTATGGAAATATTAAAAAATATATTTTTTAAAAAATCCACGACTTCGGCTGTGGCTTTTTGAAAAAAAAAATATATTTTTTTTAAAAAATCCACGCCTATGGAAATATTAAAAAAATATTTTTTAAAAAATCCACGCCTATGGAAATATTAAAAAAAATATTTTGAACAAATATTTTTATAAAAATAAACAAATTCACGCCTATGGAAATATCGATTTTTTTTAATAAAAATATCCACGCCTATGGAAATATAAAAAAATATTTTTAAAAAAACCATGCCTATGGAAATATTGGATATATTTTTTTAAAAAATCCAAGCCTTGCTGCGGATTCTTCTTTTTTATTATTTAATTTTTAAAAATATTAATTTGTTAATTATTATTATTTTTAATTTGTTTATACATTTGATTCTAATACAAACTTTATTGGTAAACAAAGTTAGTGAGGCATTGAAAAAATTATCTAATTATATTTCAGGCATATTCTAATGTAATCCATTTTTCAAAACAGTTGAAATTGAAACTTTCAAGGTTCAAAATGATACGACTCGTCATTTCTATATATTTGCTCTTGCTAATACTTCAGCAAATCTATGGGGTAAGAAATATAATTCCCCACTCTTCAATATAAAATCATCGACTTAAGACCCTTCCCTTTCCAGTCCCCCAAACTAACATTTCGTGGCGGCAGCTGTCGTTTCAGTCCCAATTATTTCTCGAATTTCACCTTTTCCACCGCCAACTCCTCAATTAATGCCGATATGCAGTTAATCAAACCGCTTCGACAGGGCTTGAAGGCTAATTTGGAAATTCAACTACGTCTAACAAATTCCAAAATGCATCAGAAATTATTTTCGTATATTTTGAATATTTGCGATTTAGTTGTATCGTTTCGTAGTACGATTTTCAAAAAATGGTTTGAATCTTTGCTGGCATATGGCAATTTTATGCCAAATTGTCCGGTAGCAGCGGGTCGTTATTATGTGAAAGGATGGAAACCGGATTCAAAGTTGATACCATCATATTTATATCCTGGAGATTATCGCCTGAAAGGATATGTCTTCTATGGCCGTTATCAGGGGAAGAAGGAGGATTTCGTGGTGGACATTGAGGTGGATGCTGTGATTAGTTGAAATTACTTGTTGTTTTTATAAAATAAAGGATTGAAAGGAATGCCTATTTTGGTCTTTGAATAAAATATTTTTAAACCAGTAATGAAAGTAGTAAAGTCGGACGGGACCGACTATACGAAACCCTTCCAAACATGAGGAGTTTGATGCCCCATATACTTAAAATCGGGCGAAAATACATATGGAAGCTATATCCAAATATGAACCGATTTCAACAAAACTTGTCACAGGTTAGGCTATAATAATTTTTGTACGTTTTGTTCCTATCAGCCATATATTGGTTCCTTGGTGCGTCAATTACTAAATCTCAACCAATTTTCACGAAACTCAGCACACATCATTCCAGACTCAATTCAGTACGCTACGACAAATTTCGTGCACATCGAAAGATATATAGGGACTTTGGTACACCATTTACATAAAATCGGACGAAAACCGACCGATTTCCACAAAACTTGGCAGACATCACTCTAGGTTAAATTCAGTACGTTATGCCAAATTCCATGCAAATCGAAAGATATATAGGGACATTGGTGCACCATTTACATTAAATCGTACGAAAATATATATAGAAGCTATATCGAAATCTGAACCGATTGACAGACATCAGTCCAGGTTCAATTCAGTATGCCATGCCAAATTTAGTGCAAATCGAAAGATATATAGAGACTTTGCTGCACCATTTACATTAAATCGGACGAAACTATATATGGGAGCTATATCTAAATCTGGACCGATTTTCACGAAACTTGGCAGACATCACTCTAGGTTCAATTCAGTAAGTTATGCCAAATTTCGTGCAAATCGAAAGCTTTATAGGGACTTTGGTGCACCAATTACCTAAAATCGGATGAAACTATTTATGGGAGCTATATCTAAATCTGGACCGATTTTCACAAAACTTGGCGGACATTACTCAAGGCTCAATTCAGTACGTTATGCCAAATTTCGTGCAAATCGAAGGATACATAGGGACTTTTGTGTACCATTTACATAAAATCGGACGAAACTATATATAGGAACTATATCTAAATCTGAACCGATTTTCACCAAACGTGGCAGACATCACTCTAGGCTCAATTCAGGTACTTTGGTGCACCATTTACATAAAATCGGACGAAACTATATATGGGAGCTATATCTAAATCTGGACCGATTTCCACGAAACTTGGCAGACATCATTCTAGGTTCAATTCAGTACGTTATGCCAAATTTCGTGCAAATCGAAAGATATATAGGGACTTTGGTGCACCATTTACATAAAATCGGACTAAACTGTATATGGTAGCTACATCTAAATCTGGACCGATTTCCACGAAACTTGGCACACATCATTCCATACTCGATTCAGTCCGCTATGGCAAATTTCGTGCAAATCGAAAGATATATAGGGACATTGGTGCACCATTTACATAAAATCGGACGAAACTATATATGGGAGCTATATCTAAATCAGGACCGATTTCCACGAAATATCGAAAGATATATAGGGACATTGGTGCACTATTTACATAAAATCGGACGAAACTATATGTAGGAGCTATATCTAAATCTGGACCGATTTTCACGAAACTTTGCAGACATCACTCTAGGTTTAATTCGGTACGATATGCCAAATTTCGTGCAAACCGAAAGCTTTAAATGAAGTTTGGTGCACCATTTGTCTTAAATCGGACGAAACTATATATGGGAGCTATATCTAAATCTGGACCGATTTTCACCAAACTTGACACTCTACGTTCAATTCAGTACATCATACCAATGTTCGTGCAAATCGAAAGATATGTAGGAACATTGCTGCACCATTTATATAAAATCGGACGAAAATATATATGGGAGCTATATCTAAATCTTTACCGATTGTCACGAAGCAGTATGTCATGCCAACTATCGTGCAAGTCGAAAGATATGTAGGGACTTTGGTGCACCATTCGGACGGAAATATATATGGGAGCTATATGTAAATCTGAACCGATTTTTCTCTTGTTAACAATTTAACACCAACAGACGGACGAACGGACGGACATGCATAAATCAACTCAGAAAGTGATTATATGCATAATCTGAAAAGGAACTATGGGTCTATCTCGTTTCCTTTTGCCTGTTACAATAATATGCACAAAGACATAATACCCTGTACCACAGTGTGGTGAAGGTTACAAAAATTCACTAGGTGTAGTATGTCCTAAAAAAATATTTTTAAAAATTTCAAGGGTAATATCTTTTTAAAAAGTTTATAATTTGAGCTAAGGGATCATCGGTGAACCAGTGAGCCATAGGTTAATCATACCATAGCATTTGAACCATATTTGAGCTGGAGAATCATAATAGAGCTAATGAACCAATTGCATTTTAGTGGACCATAGGAGAGCTAGCGAATTATTTGCTGAGCTATTAAACCGTATACAACATAGTGAACCATTGGTGAGCAATTGTAACATTGATGAGCTAGTGTACCCTTGGTGAGCTAATGAACCCCTGGTAAGCTAGTGAACCATTGATAAGCTAATGAACCATTGGTGAGCTAGTGAACGTTTGAGGAGCTAGTCAACCCTTGGTGAGCTAGTGACCCATTGGTGAGCAAGTAAACACTTGGTTAGCTAGTGAACGCTTGGAGAGCAATTGAACCATTTTGTTGAGCTGGTGAAACCTTGAGGAGCTAGTGTACCACTGATATGCTATCATTCCAAAGGAGTGAACCATATGATAAATAGTAAACCCTTGATGAGCTAGTGTACCATTGATATGCTATCAATCCAAAGGAGTGAACCATATTATAAGCAGTAAACCCTTGATGAGCTAGTGTACCCTTGGTGAGCTATTGAACCCTTGGAAAGCTCGTGAACCATTGATAAGCTAATGAACCATTGGTGAGCTAGTGAACATTTGAGGAGTTAGTCGACCCTTGGTGAGCTGGTGTTCCATTGGTGAGCAAGTGGACACTGAGTTAGCTAGTGAACGTTTGGAGAGAAAGTGAACTTTTTGTTGTGCTGGTGAACCCTTGATGAGCTAGTGTATCAATTATATGCTAATGAACCATAAGTGAACCATATGTTAAGTGGTGAACCGTAGTTGAGTTAGGGAACTATAGACGAACTATGGAGGATCCAGGGATCCATAGTCAATATAGGTTAACTCATAAGCGACCTAAGAACCAATTACGAATAAATTAACCCTAGATGAGGTAGTGAACCATTGGTGAGCTAATGAACCGTAAGTGAGCTAATGAAACATAAGTGAGCTACTGGACCATAGGTAAGTTAGCACAGTTGAGATAGTGGACCCTGTTTAAATTAGTGTATCCTAGGTAAACTAGGGAATTAAAGGTGATCTAGAGAACCAGTGGGAAGCTGATGAACCCTAGGGGAACTCGTGAACCATTGCAGAGCTAGTGAACAGCTTCGTGGAAGATGCTTAATAATAATAGAAAAAATATGGCTTTTATTCTTTAATTTTTGTTTGTAGATCCTTTTAAAAAAATATTAATTTAAAAAATTTCTGCAACATTCCCACTTCCCTGAAGGGGATATAACCCGTTCGCCGCACATAAAAACCTACAAAAAGTTGCGGAAACACCAGCCTGTTAATATTTTTCTACAAAAATTCCACATTGTTTTAACCAAATGTTGTGGAATTGTTAGATAGTTTTTTTTGTTCATCTTCTTCTTCTTCTTTTTGTTAATAGTGTCAAGTCACCATATTGTTGTTACCAAAAACGGCTAAAGTTAAAGAGAACCACCCCTCCCTTCCAAAAAAAAAAACTATGGCAAAAGTTAACGGAAATTGTTAAAACTAACAGAAAAAAATTCAAATCAGAATTTTTTGAGTTTGAATCTTTATTCTCAACCAAAAAAGACAAGATTTTATTTCAATACCAATGATTATTTATTCTCACTACCTTATCCACCCGGTCTCCATCCTCCAGTTTCCACTCCCCATCCCACCAGTTACTATTAACTCCGTTACAATTGTCAAAAAGTAATCGCAACAATGATGGTCTTTCTCCAAAGCCAGAAATCATTCGAAACCACCCCTCGCCCACCACAGAAATCCAAAGGAGAAGTAGCTCCCAAAGTTAAAGTTCCAACCATTTTTCCAGTTCCTTTCCTTCGATGCTGACTTCTCGAAAAATAGAAACCCAACAGAAAAAATGCAAAGTTACCACAATGAGTTTTTTTCTCGCCTGTCCGATGTTTTTGGAATAATGAAGAGACAAAACTTTTCTGAAGGCTTGTAATTTTTGTTTAGCAAAGTTTTTGCTTTTTTGTTATTGTTGTCTTTTTTTGTTATTTCACACTCGTTACTGATGTTCAATTTTGTTGGCGTTGTTGTTGGGTTTTTTCTTTTGTTCTTCGTAGTTGCATTTGTTCGCTTGTTTTAGCCTTTTGTTAAAAAAAAAAATAATACAGTAGGGGACAGCTTGGTGGTTACGAGTTAAAGGAACAAATTCCAAGGCATAGCCGAGGTTCTTTAAAATGTCTAATTTTTTTTAAGATTTAAGATGATTGTAGGTGTACTAATGAATCCTAGGTGAGCAATGGGCCATTGGTAAGCTAGTGAACCATAAGTGAGCCAGCATAGGTGAAGCATAGGTGAGCTGATGAACCATAGATGAGCTAGTAAACAATAAACAACCTATTGAACCACAATAGGTGAGCTGGTGAAGCATAGGTGAGGTAGTGAGGCAAAGGTGAGTACATCATATGTGAGCCAGTGAGCCATAGATGAACTCTTGAACCATAGATGAGCTGCTGAATCATAACTGAGCTAGTGAAATCTATGGGAGCTAGTGACCTAGTGAACCATAGGTAAGCTGGTGAACCATTGGTGAGTCCTTGGTGAGCTGGAGAAGCATTGCTTAGCATGTTAACCATTGATGAGCTGGTGAACCATAGACCATTGGAGAGCCGTTGAACTGTTGGTGAGCTGCTAAACCGTTAGTGAGCTGGTGAACCATTGATAAGCCAGTGAACAAAAGGTAAGCTGGAGAACCATTGGTTAGC